TCCTGTAGAAACATGAATAAGAAATAACATTCTTTGATCTTTGAATGCTCACAACTGTTGGTGAAACTTGATTAACCCCTTGTTGTCTGATGTAATTGAATGTTTATCTACAGCCACAATGTAAGTTAGCAGTCTAAGCCCCCATATAGTATGCTATTCCAACTAGCATATGAGATATCACAACCTACTACATTTAAAGGAGGCTCCATTTACTGTAAAACCAAGGCTGCAGGTTGACCTCAACTCAGAAACAGATGGGAATTTTTTCTGTATGTAAAGACTGGCTGGACTTGGGGTGCACCAATGTAGGCTGACCCTTGCATTTTGCAGGGATTCATGGGTACTTTTCTCTCGCTTAGACCCATATATCAATGCAGACTGAAGGGCAGGAAGCCGAGGAAAGGCCAGGAGTGTGGTGTACAGCGGCTCTCTGGGAAATATGAAGACAAACGAAGAATTGGCTGTGAATAAGAGAAAGTGTTATCAGTGTGGACAGGAAAGAGCCTCAGTATTTGTACTTCACTTCAGCAAAAAAAAAAAAAAGATTCTGAAATACAAAAAGAGCCTAGTCAAGAAAGAGGGTGGACATTCTTTATTAAACTGGCACCACTTTCTGACTGCTCATACAGCACTAATAGTTTGCTGGTCAGGCTTTATATCTCAGACTCACTTAGATTTGTCTTGTGGCTGCACCAGGACTATGGGTTGGTGCACATCCAAGCACCACTGCATTGGCCTTTCACTTTGAGCTTTGTATCTACCTCACATTATTCAAGACCATTTACACTTTAACCCACTGCTTTGATATAAAATGCTTTCATTCATTAATAATGTAGTTAAAGTAAGCAGCTACTCAACTGTACATTTTTGTGCAGCATTAATGCCATTTGCATTACACATGTCTTGAATTTTGTTTTGCTTGTTTTATTTATTTATTTATTTTAGCTTGAGAAGTGTTTTATAGATTATTCTTAATGCAGCTTTGCAATAAATATTTATTGAAAATAAAGAGGAAAGTTATTTCCCTTGATAGATCAAAAAAATTTAACAACTAACGTAATTTTTTTTTTATATTCTTTGTTGACTTGCCTCCATTCAGCTGGGGAGGGAGTTTGGGTAATATTTCCTCATTATTTCTCGTCATCCTCTGCTGGAGACTCTGATTCTCTGAAATATCCGATTCGGCTTCTCCAATACGCCAAAATGAATTGTTTATGGAGAAAAATAACCCCTCTGTTGAACTTTTTTCTTCATGAGTTGATTTCACGTGGGTGAAAGTTGCAAGCTGTTATAATTGAGTGCTCATTTATCATTTTATTCAGCTTTTATTTTTGCAATCCTAATGAAAAAACGCTGATGTTAGTTCATTGTCTGTAAGTGCATATTATTTTTTTGTTGTTGTTGTTGTGACATTCTTGTTTAATTTGGTTTTTCAGTGCATTCTGTATATTTATCAATACTGACAAGTGTCTTTTATTATATCAGACTCTTTCAGAGCTGCTCTTGGAAACATGATATGGAAATACTGTATCAGTAAATATCAGCCCTCAGTAATTGGTCTTTGATGAAGCAGCTGCTCAAAGATTTTTTTTGTAAGGCATAGCATGGATAAATAGATTTAATTGCTGTTAAAACTGTTTACAACAGTGTACAACAGGTGCAGGACTGCAGTCCTATCACTCAAGAATAAAAATCCACTCTTTCATTTAAAGTATTTTGTCCATTAGTGCCCCTAGAAACCATTTGTTTCCAACCAAGTACAGCTTCAATATGACATTTTCGATTTATAAAAGTGCACCAGTCATGCATGCCACCCAAGCATATTTCCCTGTGTGCTATTCAGTATTTTTTTGCTTAAGGTACAGTGCTCTTTTCTCCATGGAACGTCTCCTCCCTGAATGAATGCCCCGGGCTCTGTGAGTGTTGAAAGAAGTCTCGTTATTGCAGCAATGTGTGGATAGCCCCTTTCTCTCTGAAATTCAGTTTTGGAGCATTCATAAGCCTTTTCTGTGAGATTTTCTCTGACATGTAAGCGTTGGAGCGTTTCCCCTTTGGGCCAGGCGGCGCAATGCCTGATACTCCTGTCAGTGTTCCCAATGCACTCAGTGCAACTGCTGGTCCCGAGACTCCGTTACTTTAAGTGCCTCTTTGCATGGAGTGTGAAAGCTTTTGAATAACATGTTTGTGTGCGTATTGTTATAAGCAACATACTTGCTGGCCTGACTTGAAGACAACAGCTCTGATGTTTTTCTTTGCTCATCAGTTTTGTTTTGACAGACCGACAATGTGCTTGTCTTAGTCATTGCATGTTGTGAGGTAATCATGCAGCAGCCAATCACTATAATACATAAATCATAATAACCGCATCATTCTGAACTGAGACCATCTCGTTTTCTCTTTGTTGCCAAAGTGAAAAAAACAATTTTATGCACCAGCCTTTATTTCATTGTGCTCTCATTTTGAATTACATCTCTTTTAAACGTTTTAATGAAAGTCTAGCTGTCAGGAATCTACAAAAATGTTTTCTGCACCTGTTGCATCTGCGTTTGTATAGAATGAGTCCATGTTTGATTTGACCTATCTTTTCACTCTCTGGATGCCTTTAGTGACCCACATGTCTGACCTCCGACTGAAAAATCCTCTTTGTTCTGTTCTGAAATCTTCAAAAACATGTGCTTGTGTCCATGTTGTTGACACAAAACTGTTCAAGTTCACACCGTCTCCTTGTTCGAACACTAATGCACAGATGGCTTGTTTGATGATTTTTATTTTGACAGGATTTTAGTACATCTTTTATTAGTCAAAGGCTTGGGACTGAAACTGGGAATGCAGAGTATTTGTACATCACCTACCAAAGCTGCCTCTTCCAAAATAAGTGCAGACTCGATGCCTATCATTGTTGTATTAATTATATTTGTATCATCAAGAAGCTAATCTGTAACGTATGAGTCCGTGAACTGATAGCCCTTGGATTTTAACATGTTATGGCATTTATACTAATATTGTTAACTATACTCCCCACACTATAAACATGGCAGTACAGTTCTCCTTCATCTTTGCAGTATTTGTACTCAGCCAAAATCTTGTGTCTGTCTCAGGATACAGAGGCCAGAAAGGAGAACGAGGCCAGCTTGGACTGGGGTTCGCAGGAGATCCAGGACCCATGGGGCCGCCAGGTACAGTAAGCACACCGCTAGTTTTAACACTTAATTAGATATGACTTATCAAATCAAATCAAATTTATTTATATAGCACTTTAAAAACAACATCCAGTTGACCAAAGTACTTTACATAGACAGAATAAAATCATGATAAACAAGTAAAATAAAATAAATAGATTCAGTGCAAAAATAAAACAATAACACAGATGACACACATTCAATAAATAAAAATTAAAAGGCATGCATCAGCCCCTACTGTGCATTAAAAGCAAAGGCAAATAAATAGTTTTTAAGCAAGGATTTAAAAGCAGTCAGGTCAGTAGCTGATCTAACATTAAGAGGTAGACTATGATCTAACATTAAGAGGTAGACTATTCCACAATTTAGGGGCTGCAACAGTAAAAGCATGGTCACCCCAACGTTCATATCTGGCCATAGGAACCTCTAACAGAAAGTGGCTTGAAGATCTGAGGGACCTTGAAGGTTTGTGCCAATGCACTAATTCTGTGAGATAAGATGGTGCCAAACCATTAAGAGCCTTAAAAACAAAAATCAATGCTTTAAAATCAATTCTAAAACAGACTGGAAGCCAGTGGAGAGAAACCAGTACCAGGGTTATATGCTTAAATTTTCTGTTAGTTGTCAGAAGACAAGCAGCAGCGTTTTGAACCATCTGAAGATGAGAGAGGGAGGATTGGTTAACACCATAGTAGAGAGCATTGCAATAGTCAAGGCGAGAAGTGATAAAAGCATGAATTGCAATCACAAAATCATTAAAAGAAAGGAATGACTTGACTTTACTTAACAGATTTTTTTATTGTTGACTTCAGATGATGAGCCAGGGGGTCCAGACCCTGGTCAAAAGAAGTTAAGTTCGACAAGTCTCCAGACAGCACACACTCAGTTTTATTTTCATTAAAGTTTAAAACGTTAAGTGCCAGCAATTATTTGAAGTCTGTCAAACAGTCAAACAACAACTGTAATGACATCCCTCTCATTGCCTTCAATGGTTAGTATATCTGCATAGCAGTGAAAAGAAGGGCCATACTTCCTTAAGACAGATCCCAATGGAAGCGTGTACAGTGAGAACAAAATGGGACCAAGCACAGATCCCTGGGGGACACCACAGTAAAACTTCTATTGGTGAGATAAGATCGAAACCAGTTAAGAACGGTGCCTTCAATTCCTACACACTGCTCCAAACGAGATAGGAGGATTTCATGATCCACTGTATCGAAGGAAGCAGTGAGATCTAAAAGCACCAATAAAACCGACTTATGTGTTTTGAAGCGTATGGTCAAATGGAGGCTTGAGCAGTGACTCGTGACTGAATCAGATGACTACATAAAAGCAGCATGGCATTCATCAGGTAAATAAAATGTATTAATGCTGCTTTAAAGTATCTACCTAAATCTTAATTGTAAGCCTTAAATTTTGACAGAGCTGAAAGTTACAAAAACAGTTTAAATAATGTTAAGATATATACTTAACATCACGATAACCATCAGCCTTAACCAGTAAAACATAAGGAAATGTTGTATTTGTGCCAATATAGTAAGAGCACTTTTAGCAGTAGAGCTGCTTCAATTATACCACATTTGTCACAAAATGACTGGGCACTGCATTGACAGCCCTGCCTCCTCCACATCTACCACTGTTTATTGGGTTTTCATACCTATTCACTGAAAGGAGGGAAGTATAGAATAGCTCACTATGAAATCAGATGACTGGGGTTGTGTCAAGGCTCCAACCATAAATTCTATTTCAGCCTTCATTTTGTATCTCAGCATGTTGGTGATAAACACAGCTTACAAATTGCACTGTGTTTTCCAAAACTCCAGTTCTGCTGTGACATCAGTGGCACCCTAGTAGAGGTAAATTGCTGATGCAACAGAGTACTGATGTCCATTCTCTAAAAAAAAAAAAAAACTATTTTCATGTTGTCCCAAAGAAAGGCTTCACTGAACATAACCCAAGATGTCAGCTTGTCCCCTGCTCCCGTGAACTAAAAAATAACTCCCTGTACCCTGATGGAGCAATGAGAAGTGGGACTACCTCACTGACTTCCAGCTTGTGACAGAATGAGCGGTTAAAATCATTCATCCTATCTGTGTATGTGCGTAATGCATGTATAGGGCAAAGAGAACTTGGCTGTAGCTGCTGAAAGACATCATCTCTAGGGGTGTCCAGTGATAGGAAGCATCTTTGGCACCTCTGATGGAGTTACACTTCAGCTAGAGTCTCATTTTAGACAAAGTTGGAAAGTACTGGAACAAATTGTGAGTGTTCAGGGCAAATATTCAGATTTTCCCCTTTGCTCTTACACACATGTCCCTGTGCAATGTACGATTATAATGGGATGCCTGTCATGATATTAAGGGTGTTATCGAGCTGATGAGCAGCGCCTATGTTCACCAAGACATAGTGCTTGGAGTGCTGCCCAAATGTCTGTCTCATGGTCATTATAATAAGAGACAGCTTGAACTCTTTGACATCCACATAGCGCATGTTCCCCTTGAACACACCACCATGGTTAATGGAAACTGAGTTATATGAGTCACATACAGCAGACTCCCTGTTATTATTTTTACTATTATGGGTAAAAGCCCTCAGCTTTAGTGTTGTTGGTCCTCATGAAGATATTATAGCATTGGAGAGAAGTCAGGGAACATCTCAGCAAATGAAAACAACTAATAATTTCAAATATTTTATGTGACGATGATCACAATGTCAATTTGTTGTTTTTGTCTGCACATCTTTGTAACCTGATGAGCTTTGATGGTAGCTGTTTCTCATGGTTATATTCATGTCATGCCTGCCTGTGGTGCATTTGCTCTGTGCTGTGCTGTAGCTACATGTAAGTAGCAGGGTTACGCTCGCAGCTGTAAGCAGCACAAAGATTTGATAGTTTAGAGCAAAACAGAATTTTGATAATGATTGTTGCTGAGGCTGGCAGTATGAACCACTGCAGCACCGTGGACTGTTTATGTGCTGGCAGTTAAGCAAGAGATGGATGTGGTGGTTATGAAAAGGGCAAGTTGTGTTTTCAGAGGGAGGACAATGACACAGCAGTACTTGTGATTATGTTTGTATGAAGTATAGAGGAGGCAGAGCTCCCTCGAGCTGGTCTGACTGATATAACAGATATTCCTATAGCTGGACTGCAGTGGAGTGTTTATATAGGCTTTTGTCGAGATATGTTGGAAAGAATATGTTGTTTCTGGTTCCTGTGTTTGTGTTTGTACTGTATGGAGACTATGAGACACCAGAAAGTGGTGTGAGCTGCTTTTACCAACTACACAAGCTAAGCAACGTAAAATACTAATGTCTCCCATGATGACCTCACCATATTAGAGAGCGAGGAGTCAGTCTGTTACAGTGAAATCAAAGACTTACGTTAACATACTCTCAAAATGCTTGTTGGTGTGAAAGTGAATTTTATATATAACACATGGGTTACCTTTGAACTCCAGCCATCTTGGGGGTAATTAATAATGTTAAGGTGACTTTCAGGCAGGTTGATATGCCTGGAATTACTACCACAATATAATGACTTGAACATTTTTAATTGTACAAAATGATCTATTGATGTATAATGCAAAGAACCAGAGAATCTTTTCTTGTTGAGAAGTAAAAAAAATCTGTACCCAGTTTTTGTTTTAATTAGAGTTTGCTTTGACTAATTAATTCAAACAAACGTCTGTAAAATTGTAAAACTACTGTATATAATGGTTTGAACTATCACTTATTTTCATGATCAATTTATCTGTTGATTATTTGGAATGAACTCTTTGGTCAGTGAAATATGAAGCTGGAAGTAGGAGATAATTGAAAGTGACAACCTCAGTGATATTTCAATGTGCTTTAATTTGTCTTGATAGGAGTTTGTTTACCTGTGGCAAACTGAATGGACTGGACATAATTAAAAAAGGTACACACCTATTTATATATGGTCCCACAATTCACAGTGCATGTCAGGGCCAAAAGCCAAGCCATGAAGTCCAGAGAACTCTCTGTAGACCTCCACCATAAAATGCTTTGGTGAGGTATAGATAAAACAAGAGTATACACCATGTCTGTGTTCCCAGGAGCACAGTGGCCTCAGTAACTGTGAAATGGAAGAAGTTTGCAACCACCAGGACTCTAGTTGCCCGTTAACCAAACCACCTAACTGGACTTGAATGGTTGTAGTCAGCAAGGTGACCAAAAACCCAACAGTCACTTTAACTGAGCCTTAGAAGTTCTCTGCAAAGATGAGAGAACCTGCCGGAAGGACGACTGTCTCAGCAGCACAGCATCAGTTAGGTCTTTATGGTAGTAGAGTGGCTAGATGGAAACCACTTCGAGTAAAAAGCATAAGACAGCCCGTTTTTGTCAGACAGCATTTGATGGACTCTGAGAGCATAAGGAAAAGGTTTCTCTGGTTGGATGCGACAAAAAATGTCATCATTTGGGCAGAAGTCCAAGCACTATGTCTTGGTGAACACAAGCGCTGCTCATCACCTCGATATCAGCCTTAATGTCATGACAGGCATCCCATTAATACCATGGCACCACAGTGTAACAATAATAACTTTATTTATACAGTACTTTTCAAAACAAAGTTACAAAAAAGCTTCATAACATGAGTAAAACACATGTAGCAAAGAACTAAAATTAGGCATTAAATTAGATATGTTAAAATGTGTGAGACTGTTATGTGGCTCAACCCTGAATACTAGAAGTTACAGTAATCTAACTGAGATGATGTGAAAGTATGTGTGACCTTCTCAAGATCTGGTTGAGAACAAAGACCTGATTTTTGATATCTTCCTTAACTGATAAAAATGAAACTGAAGCAATCTTTTTTGTTGAAGGGGCTTCTAAGTACTGAATTAATGGTCTGAATACTTTTGTAAATGAGAGATTTCAGTTTGGCAATTTATCAATACAAAGTTTTTTTTTATTCTCTCTAGCCAATCTGTATGGACAATGTATGACTGTGTGTTTGTGTGAGGGAACATGTGCATCTGCCAAACTGCAGTTTTGTTGCTAATGGAAAGCTCCGCTGAATGATAAAGTGGAGCCTGGTGCAGGAATTAATACATTCTCATTTTCTGTCAAGGCCCTCCTGGGATCACTTCTCGGGGCCCCCCTGGCTCTCAAGGGCCCCGTGGACCTCCTGGGACATGTGACCCAAGTGACTGTCTCCTCCCTGGCTTCAGCTGAGTGCTGCAGCCACAGAGCAGGAGAAGGATGGCCTCGCTGTATCTGACAGCTTCCTCTGCTCTGCTTTGTCCAACAGGCTCACAACTGACTTCATTTGTTCACTTTACAATAACATTTGGATGCAGCTAAGGTTGTTATTTTTCTGGGATTGTTGTTGGGTTAGCTTTCAATGCAACAAACCTTTGTTTTTTTTAACACGTACTTTTATTTCTTGTTTTCTAGTTTCCCCTACAGTGATGTAATGCATTCCTTGTCAACTCTTATTACATCTTTCAAGACCATGAAATGGCTTTGTTTTGTCATGTTCGGTTCTGTCTGCAAACATGATCTTAATTATTTGTTTGCCTCCTTAATGGGCATGCCTGTACAGTCTTCTGTTCTTATTCAGATAAGCCATTGTGCTGACAGAATGTACATCTTGTGTGTGCATGTGTGAGAGAAAAAGATTAACTGGATGAATGAGACTTGTTTTATGTGTGAGAAAATAACTGATTTAAAAAAAAATACTTATGCAACCAAAGTGCAGCATTTGTGTCTGATATTGAAATTATTTATTTTAAGTACAAGAATGTATTTAACAGATGGCACTAATAATTAAAGTAAATGTAGCATGGTTGTTCAGTAATATTATTACAAAGTGGATTAATACATGACTAGATTATGGAGAGTTTTGTCTTTTGAAATGATCACTCATGACACATTTGCGCGTTGAATGATAAGTTTGTTTTTTTAGGAATCTGCAGAATAACCACTGATAAAGAGGTTTTCTCATTTTGTAGGTTATGCATCAGTGCTGAGCTCTCATCAGTGAGGTTTGCCAGCATTTTTGATACAAACACAACTTATACTGTTTGTCTGAAACTATCTGTACGCAAACATCAAGGACATGAATGTACTTTAAATGTCACTGATGTTTAATGAGTGTGATATGACCTCGCTTTGACTTTTACTGTTGGTTTAATCTGTAAATAAGTTGCACGAGTGACTGAGGTTTTCTCTCCCCCCCCTTTTCTTTTTTCTTGTCTAATGGGGCTTTTAATGGGACCTGACAATATAATTACAGTACATAAGCAAGTTGTTATCGTAATGGCACATTAAGGTTTTCACTTATCAATCACACATCACTGCAAACCCTTTGTGTATATGTGTGTCTGAAATAATTATTAGCATAAATTGTTTACATATGTTAGTGTTGTGTATGATGATTCCTCTGGTTTATTTGTATATTTTTGATTTTTAGTTGCACCAAGAAAACCGGACTACTATACTGCAACTTCAGGCTTCTTATGTTGGTGACTCATTTTAGTCATAAATTTACTTGAATCTTCCTGTTGTTAGTTTTAACACTATCATGGCCGACATGGTCCATCTCCTGGTTTTTCACTGCGTCACTATGTATTGTTGGGTTTGGGGTCTCTTAAGACTGGAGTTTTGATTTATTTATTTACTATAATAAAGTAATTTTATTGTTCTCAACATTTGCAGAAGGTTTGAGTCAAATTTATTTAAACGGGCTATATGATATATCACATGTGGACAGATGAATATCTTACTGAGTATAATCACTCTGAGAATTTGCAAAACGTCTTGAGGACAGAAGGACAAAAGTTGTCAGATTTGGGATCTAAATTAAAGCGATTTTTTTTTAAGACAATGCATAATTTGGTTATTGTGAAAAACACTAAACAATGAAGTTTTAAATAGTAGAAAAAGTTAATTATCCTGCAGTGTATATCACTTTCCTGGTGCTTTCATGCTGAGCACCGTTTAATGAAAGTTTGACTCAAAGGCTTTAATTTTACTTTTACTTTTACTTTTACTTTTAAGTGTCCTGCTGTGATTAATGTTTGAAAGGTTGTGTGGAAATATCTGAAAATTTGGGGAAATTAAGAGCTCGGCTCTATCTGTATTTCATCTTTTTAGATCTGTTTGACACTTTTTTTCTTTTTACTTCATGTCTCACATCATATGAAGTCATCATTCTTCTCTTACACATGTAAATTATAACTCACATCTTATTCATAAAGCTACAGAGCATTTTTCGACATGCCAGTTTGGTTTTATCTCTGTTAAGTTTTATCAGCATAAGTGGGTCTAATTTTAGATGGGCTGTGAATCAAATGTGTGCCACCGACTTCATTTGTGAGCTAAAAGAGCCCCCTGCTGGAAATGCATTTATTTGCTCATTGCTTGTGATGTGAATAAAAATAATATTTCTTTGGATTATAGGCCACATAAAATCCCCTCCTTCTATAGGCCTTTGTTGTTTCATCACACTAATTTTAATATTTGGCTTAATGGGCTCCCCTCGGAGACAGTAATGGCGACCTTGACGAAATTCAAAGGAGACAGCAGCAGCAAACTAATGTGATCTGAACTTTTCAGTGCACTGATGAGAGCGACTCTGTCTGTATATTGAATTAATATTAATATGCACCAGTTTGTGACTTCAATTTAGCTAAACAGAATGATAACTAGGCAAGACACGAAATGGCTACTGATGTCACAGCCCACTTCACTAGCAATTTGGTGCCAACCATTTAACATCACTCACAGTTAAAATCCATTTGTTCCAAGTGGAAAATGCCGTATGAAAGCAAAGGATGGAGGGGTTGTATGCTGGTGCATCCTTCAGATGAAATGCTGCTTTAAAGAATGGTGTGCCGAATAGTGTGAAATTCATTTAAAACAAATTAGCATGTTTGCTTTTTTTGCTTTTTTACTGTAATGTAACTTGATCCATTGCCACGTTTAATCCAATTTTTTAATAAATAAGCTTGTAATAAGGGGGAATATGGATCAGCCTCTCAGGTGGTTCTTTGGATTAAAAATGTCTGCCCTCTGCTCTCATCTGATCTCCTCTGTGGTGCTGAGTAACTTTAATGTGTGTTTTTCAGTCTTTGTTTCACTGAATATCTACCTCAGTCTTGGTTTACCACATGTCTACATCATTAGCTATTTTGGAAAAACTATCACAACACTAACTGTTGCCTTTCACTGAAAAAGCATTTGAAACCACGTGTATGTAAAAACTGAAATTTTTCAGGCCTGGATCTTAAGTATCAGTCTCAGTCAGTTTAGCGAACCATATACTTGGACAGTAATGCTCCTGTTATGGAGGAGGATCCAATTTGCATGTGGTTACCAGGTATCAGAGGTTATATTTTACTGTTTTCTTTGTATCATCTTTTGCTTAAACAGATTAATGGAATCTGCCTTATACGCGTGCAATAAATGTTATTCTGTGCTTTATTTCTTGTGTTCTGGTGTATTTTCTGCACTAACATGGTGAAAAACCCATAATGGAAGTTGTGAATTGTAGCATTTTAGCTGTTCTTAAAAAGGAATAAAGCTAAATAATACATATTCGAACACATGTAATAATCCTAGTTAAGCAGGTGTGATATTTTAGAGTTTTTATTTTAGGTGAATGGGTTTTGGAAAAACAACTGAGGACAATGATTTTGCTTTTCCGGATACTTGTCACAAAATGTATCAACAATAAAACCAATACATAGAATAAATTAAACACTACATCTGTTGTTTTTGTTATTTGTTCATTGTTAATGAGGGTTTTCCTCATCCTTAAATTATATTTCCATAAAAGCATAACTGCACTCTGTTCTGTACATTTTGTACAATGAGCCTAAAGCACACATGAGGTTGCTGTGACAGAAAGAAAATTCACCAAAACATTTTTACAGATTTACAATATAATCTGAAGTCACTGTGACTTGATGACATTTTCATCCTCTTTCCATTTTATTTTGAGCTGCTCGGCTGAAAATATGGTCAGACGCAGAAATTTACACTAAAAAATTGGGTTTCAACAGGTTTTTCTTTGGTACATTAGCACATACAGAACAAAATGACTGCAAAAATGCACTTTAACCGATACAATCCTGGATTACTTTGGATGATTATTTGAAATGTTCTGTGAGAAAGTGTAGGAGCTTTTTTTTAAGAAAACAGTATAAATGGAGCACATAAAAGGAAAATGCAGGCAGAGGTACCAGGAGAGTGGATAAACAAACATTTTTAGTCATTTCATATCATCCCTGAAATGTGAGCACACTGTCCTGAAAAAAATCAAACCATTCCTCAGGTAGAAAATCACACCAGAACAGGCTAGAATTTTTTTTTTTGAATGTAAAAAAACCCAATGTTTTGTCATTTTTTTCATGGCTGGTTCCTTCTGATGGAGAAGTGTCTGGCGCAAAATGCTCACAAGAGCAGCTGCAACCACAGTCTCTGGGAAGAAAGTGTGAAAAATCTTGTGTGCTCAGGGGAGATAATCCAGCAGTTTTTCTGTCTCTGCCAGAGTGGCTCTTAGTTCCCTGCAGGTCCCTTGACATCCAGAGACTGGTGAGCGACCCCTGCCTGGAGGTTGCACGCTGATGGGTCACAGTACCCATTAGGACCAGCTGCACCCGGAGGCCCAGGCACACCAGGCTGTCCAGGAACACCAGGAGGTCCCCTCTGACCATCTCGACCATCCTGACCATAGCCAGGTTTGCCTGGCTCACCTGAAATCAGAAAATTCATTTCAGAACCCTAGTTGTTGCTATACTGGATAGATTCACAGTGAGAGAGTCTCTGATTGCTGTGACCATTCTTCCTGTCCACACTGCCTTCAGGAGATCCCGTCACTAAATTGATTTCTATATGTGATGGAAAACAGAATCCACAGCCTTCATTCAAAAAATGACTTCAACTGAACTTGGAAAATATTTTTATACAAAACAAAAAAGGTGTTGGTTTACTGTTGACCCGTCTCTTATACCAAGGATGCATTAAGAACAGATCCCCTTAGGACAAGTGTGGGCAAAAATGGTTTGGACTTTTTAAAAAGTTGAACCTATCCTTTAAAATACAGAAGCAGATTTTAAAGGCAGCATTTGCTCACCAGGGAGTCCGGGAGGTCCTGGTTGACCTTTAGGTCCCCGCACAGTGGGCCCTCTGGAGCCTCTGTCTCCCATTTCACCTGTAACATAGATTATGCAGTGAAGATATACTGTATGTGCAGTACAAACAATGACAAACATCTCATTAATTAATTTGATGCCTCATTCTCTCATGCCACCCACACAGTGTCACCTGACAATAAATGTATCACCTTTAGGTCCTTTTACTCCCATAGGTCCTGGTGGCCCTTTGAGCCCTGGAAGGCCTCTTGCTCCTGCCTGCCCAGAGAAGCCATTGTCTCCAGGAGACCCAGGAGGCCCTGGAGGTCCAGGTTTTCCAGGTAAACCAGGTGCACCAGACTCCGGCCTCCTTAAACTAGAAGCTAACTGGGCCAACTGTTCTATTTGAGCACAACAAAAAGACACTGAATGTTGTAGCTTCCTGACATCATGGGAATCTTTAAGCTATAACACTGTAATAAATCATGCCGTAGCATAAGAATGCTGATTTCTGAAAGTCTAAAGCAGCTTTCATCGAGGAGATGAGCCAGCAGCTCTTGTGGTCTCAATATCCTTTGAACTTCTCCTGTTTTTCAGCCTTTTTCCATAGAACATCAATAAATTGAGCAGAAAGGAGATAATACCCTTTTTTCAAGCAATTAGTGACAGAAAATTTATGTTAATGGTACAAAGGATCTAATATCATTTCCCGTGGCTACTTGCATGATATTTTCCAGTTAAGATTCTAGTTTTCTGGCTCCTGATGAAAATTCATACGGCAACTGCCTGGCTGCTCTTTTTTAAGATTTCCTTTCCAGGCAGCCTCTTTGCTTGGAGCAGGTCTGCTGGAGGTGAAATTAATTTTTCAGCACATTGGGTATAAAATAATTATGAGTACAGGAGATGGGTTGTGAAGCCGTAAGAGCAAAAGAATGAAGAGTACAGAGGTTGAGACTTCAGTGAAACATTCTTAAAGCTCAGAGAAGGAATATTTCATCCATCAAATAAACACAGACTGAAACTTATTTCATGTTTTGGTTATAAGACTTTCCCTTTTTGAACTTCAGAGTATTCAGCAATCGCCCAGATCAATGACACAAGGGAAGCGTGGCTCTGTGTGTAATGAGCCATTCTGGGAAAGATTTAAGTCAAGAAACGAAGCACAAGTGACTGAAAAACGGGGTCAAAGGCCCATCAGTTCTTACCTTGCATGACACGCATGCAGACTTGTTTAATGTGCTGATCACTTGGCTCTTTACCCTGGAAAGAAAAAAAATGACAACTTTCTTTCACTAGAACTGAAAGAGTACTTGATCATTTTTGGGTGGAAGAAAATCTATTTTTGGGCTCATAGAACCTGTTTCACAAACTTAGAAGTGCAGAAAAAAATGAGGCTCCCATGCTCCTCTCCTGAAAAGTTGACATATAGGACAACAACACAAGTATTGAGTCTGAGTTGGGATTTTACCGGTTTCAATAAGGAGATGTTCCTTGTGCATTGTGAGTCTGGAGCAACTGGGGATTCAGTTCCCATATACTAAAGCCTTTGGTGGGTGTGAAACAACTTTTTCAGAGCTTACTGTATGTAGCTTGATGTGCTCCCTGCAGCAAAATATATAACTTTAGAGTTCTTTTACACATGTTAAAACTGTAATAAGGACATAAGAATTGCAAAGATAAAAGTGTGGCGGGAGATGTATTCAGCCCAGTGGGCCTAATGAATGGCCCCCACCTATGCATTTTTTTAAAATGTGTTCCCTATAGGGTTTACAAAACTTGAGAATTCTTTATAACCAGTAAGAAGTTTGGGGAATGTATGTATTTGATGACTGTGTGAATCTGTGAATGTGGAAGTAATACATCTGTACAGGATTCAGAACTGTAAATAAACTGAATGTGTTTTGTTTCCACCATCTGTCACTCACTGAATCTAGCACATTAAAAATAGGGACTTTGATTTATAGATACAAAGACATGTCAGTTGTGTAACGTGCTGGATTTATTGGTAAATTCTAAACTGCACATATGGGAATTGTTCCTTAATTGTTTGGTCAGAAACATGCTAGAGCATGGACTGGACTGAGCTTTAGTCAAATCTGCCTTCACAGGAAGATGTTTGTCTTATTTCTGTCTCATTCAGTATTGTCCAGAAGGTACCCTCAAATACTTCCTCTAGACCTTTTTAACTTGAAGTGTTGTCTCTTGGACCTACCGCAGGACCTTGGGACCCTCTAGCTCCAGGTAGACCCCTGTTTCCCTGCATGCCCCGGGGTCCAGGTGAGCCAGGCGGCCCCTCAATGCCAGGTTGGCCTCGATTTCCCTCGGGACCTCTTTTACCAGGCTCGCCAGGATTGCCAACCTTGTAAGGTACATGACCAGATAACATACTGTATTACAAAACTGCAGTATTTTCCCAATGGTTTGATGCCAGAGGTAAACACTGAGGTTAAAATGATTCATTTGAACTTACATCTCCTTTAGGTCCAGAATCCCCTGGTTCACCCTATGACACATTGATACAACACAGAGGATGGAAACGGGGACATTTGCGCTCTGGTGAGTCTATTGTGGATAGAACTGTCAAAAAGTTCAAATAAGTTAAATAATTAGAGCTAGTGCAACAACTTACAGTATCCCCTTTGTCTCCAGGGTTTCCCTCATCACCTTGTACTCCCTAGGAAAAAATACAGTTTATAAATGATTTATGCAAAGCAACCCAGTTGTTATTTAAATGGAGAGTTACTATTAAGCGAGAATTCATATTTAGCAGTAGGGTTTCATACCTGCTCTCCTTTGGGTCCTGCTTCTCCACGTTCTCCCTGTAATAAACAAAACAAATGTGTCAGCTTTATAAATGATCTTTGCCTCAGACTACAGAGCATCATGACTTGAAACAAGTAGAATATTCTAGGGGTCTGCACCTGAGGGAGCTGAACAGCTGAGCATTAACCTACTTCTTAATGTTCAAGACAGTAGTTCTAAATCTGAAAAGATCACCGAATGGGACGGTGGTGTTTTCTTACCCGCTCTCCTTTCACCCCAGGAAGGCCAGGAGGACCAGGAAGACCAGGAAGACCGGGGTCACCTTTGGGTCCCTTTAATGAACACACATGCACATCTAATGAGCAGAAACATCTAAGCAGGTTTATATAAAAAATGTTGAGATACACAGTAGCCTTTAAAAGACAGACTCATGCACTTTGGCTGTGTATTTTTAAACTATTTAATGAATGATAGCACCTGTGAGCACTGACTAAATTGTTCAGACACTAGTAGTTACAGTATAATAAATAACTCCTGTTTAAAGTGAGGATATGCTGTGTGAAGTATGTCCCCACATTGTGCCCATAAAGGTTTAGCCTTGCTCCTTATTCTCTCAGGCATGGCTGTGTGTGCCATTCCCTCTTTGATCACTGA